AAAATGTAGGTCCCCCCTTTTGTCCCAGACATCAACTAACAACTGCTAATAAGCAAGGACACTTAAATTTTATTAATTCTCTTTGAGGATTATCAATTCCATAGTCTCCTCCTTTTTCTGCTTCCCACTGGTTGCCTTCTGACTCAGTGTGTCTGTCCCAAGGGGCTGCACATGCGGAGATGGGGGAAAATAAGAATTGAAACTCATGTTTTTCAGTTTGCTATTTCTTAGTGAGATGACAGTTAAGAGTTTGGGAATTGTTCCAGTAAGTCCTTTAGAAGCTAAACAAGCATCTATGTATGCATCTAGCTTTTACTTCTTTTTTGGTCATAAAATATTTGAGATGGCTTAAGAGATTACATATGTTAAAATAGAAAAGTACGTATCTAACTAGAGTAGGGAATAACATAAATTAGAAAGTTAAGAAAGAGCCGGATTCATTTCTGCGGGCATAAATCTTGGACTTTGGTGAACCCTTGCTTTGGGGGCAGGCCCAGTGGGTGGGCTTTCCTGGGGGGGTGGAAAACAAAGGCTCTGTTGCAGAGTCCACAGCTCATTAATGATTTCCGCAAATATATCTCTGTTAAAAGTTGGAGCAAGGTTGCGAGTTAAGTGGGTTGACTTGGAATTTGCCTTGACTGTTACCACAGCATTTAGCTAGACTCTCCTCCCACTGATCTTTTCACATTTTTCCCAGAAAAAGCCACTTGTCTGTGCTCAGCAGTCAGCCCCACGCCCACCCTGCAGTGGGATCGGTGGCTCACTGCCAGTGTCTCAGAATGGGGGGCCTTCATTATTGCGTCTGCCTGGTGACCTCCTCCTGATCCTCCTCCCTCGCTCGGGTTAAGGTTTAAGCTCCAGTTTACCACCAGGCCTCTGCTAATCCTTGGCACTTTCTTGCCAAAAGCTTCTTAAAGGGATAGAGCCTTTTCTGGCTCCCTTGTCCCTTCATCTCCTGCTTCCCTTCTTTCTCCTCCTCATGTCCTCTCTCTCCCCTTCTCCTTCTGTTTCGTCCAGTCAGCTTTTTATCGGCATATTTATTGTCCTCCAAATATAACGAGGATTAAAAGACAAATTATACACTAGAGAAGCTCACAGTGAGAGAGAAGGTACACAAAACAAGCGGTTATGATTATGCGATGGGTGTGATACAGACGTGAACAGGATGATTTGTTAACTTGGAAGAGGAAGTGATCAACCACTGAAAAGTCTTTGAAGAGAAGTGAGCCTGAGCTGGGTCCAGAAAAACAGGCAGATGACTGAGTTGGAGAAGGGGTGGAGGAGCTTGATGGATGAGGGCATTCTGGGCAGAGGAAATGGTTTCAAAGGCTTGGAATTGTGAAAGGACCAGGACATTGTGTGTGGTACAGAGTCTGAAAGATGGCCAGTGTGGTGGGGAGAGGGAAGGGAGGAAGGGAGGTGAAGGAGATGAGCCTAGTGGGGTAAACTATATTTTAGAGAGTAAAGAGCCTTTAGGATGTGGATTTTGTCCGATAGGCCACCGGAAGTCAGAGGAAGTCTTTTATCAGGGGAGTTGGGCTTTGAGATGCTGCCTTGGGTAGCAGCGAGCTGCTGTGGGGAGATGAATGGGACAGGAGAGAGACTGTGGAAGGAGTCCGTGCAGGGGGCTGTAGAGTTTGGGAAAGAGACGAAGCAGGCTTAAGCTGAACCAGCAACCCTAGTGATGGAAAGAAGTAGGAAGGGTGACTAGTCAGATGTGAGAAGAGAAAGAGGAGAGGAGCTAGGGGCCTAAGAAGGAGCTGCTGTTATGAATGAAATAGAGCAGGGAGTACACAGGGCACCAGTCTCCCTCCAGAAAGCCCGTTTTTCTTTCATCCATTATTTTTTATTCCTCTATTCTTTTAAAATCATCTTAAAATACTACCTCAGAAGTATTGCCTGATTAATGCATGGTTTTCTGGTATCCTAACCTTTCTATTTACACCGTGTCTTTGTAGGTATTCATCCATCCATGCATTCCATCCACAAATGGTTATTGAAGACCCATTGTGTGCCAGGCACTGGATTTGGGCCTGGGGGCACTGTGGTGAAAAGACAAAATATATGCTGTCAGTGAAGCTTCTAGTATAGAGGAGTAGACAGACAACAAAACATAACATTAAATAACCCAGCATTAAGTAGTGGGTAGGGCGTATGTGCTATGCAATGAAGTTTGAGGAGTTGGCAAGAATCAGATCATACAGGGCCTCGGAGACCATGCTCAGGAAACAGAGTCTCATCCTAGGAGCAAAGAACAAAAAGCCAATAGGGTTTAGGGTGACAGAAAGCAGAAATGCAGGGTTCCGGGATGTCTCTGAAGTTTGGGGCTTGAGCACCTCGGTTGATGGTGGCGTCATATGTTGAGTGTTGCTGTGTATTTTTCAAGTGCGCGGTATGTGTTTCACATGTTATTCTACCAGTATCACAACTGACAAATTTGCAAATATTTGAGGTATCCTATCTCACTCAACTATGTGCACTCCACACACGATATATGCACTAAATGGATGGGGATTTAAAAACCACAGGACGTGTGACATGTAAATGTGTGCTTCCACTCTTAATTTGGGCCATTGATAAAAGTTGCATTTTTGGGGCAAAAGAGTCTTAAACTATCTTAAGTTTTTCTATGAGGTGAGCAAAAGGGTTGAGAGGGAGAAAAAACTGAAGTTGAAACAAGAAAATAAAAGCTCTTAAGAGGGGGCTAGCCCCGTGGCCTAGTGGTTAAGTTCAGCGTGCTCTGCTTCAGCAGCCTGGGTTTGCAGATTTGGATCCTGGTCGCGGACCTACACCACTTATCAGACATGCTGTGGCAGCAACCCACATATAAAATAGAGGGAGGTTGGCATAGATGTTAGCTCAGGGCAAATCTTCCTCAGCAAAAAAAAAAAAAGGCAGCTCCTAAGAAAACTCCTGTCCCTTCTTACTGACAATGTGCCCTGCTAGAGGTTAGATGTGGGCAACCAGAAGATGACTGTGTATGGAGATGCCCAATCTGTGAAGCTTTGGGGACCAGAGAAAAGGAACTGTTCGTGTGCACAATGGGTGAATGGGTGTTCCACAGTCTCCCACGGTCCCTGTCTGCCTGGGATCAGATGAAGACTCACATGGGCATCTGTGCTCTTTGGTGTCCGAGTCGGAAAGCTGGTGAGTCATCCTTGGATTGATGTGAACCAGAAGCCCTCGAGTGCCTGGGCTGTCTCTGAAGAGGCAGAACAGGTAGAACCAGGGTCAGATGATGAGAATTTTCCATTTTATGGTGGTGATGGCCTGGAATGCCTAGCATGTTTTATTAGCCTTCACAGAGGACCCATTGCTTCGCCTAGGAGACTACGTTGCAGATCCGCGGTTAAGCGGAATGCTCACGCAGCTGGTTTCCCTCCAGTGTTTCAGACACTCAAGCTTTCAGGGAAAAGTGTACTGAATTGTTGTATAACTGATTTGACTGCAAAAGACTTGTACACATTTATTTGAAACATTATTTCTACTTTCTCTGCTTTCAAGGTGGTCAGCTTTATTTTAAAATCTTTTTTTTTTTTTTTTCCGAGGAAGATTAGCCCTGAGCTAACATCTGCCAATCCTCCTCTTTTTTTCTGAAGAAGACTGGCCCTGAGTATTGCTGTTGTTACAAAGGAAAACTAGTCAAAGACACATGCAAATTTGCTTTATATTTACATACTGGCTGCACAGTGTACAAAAACATTGTTCCATATTTTCCATTTGATACACACAGCCACCCTGCCAGGCGAGCAGAGATTGTAACTCCCTTTTCACAGATGAGGAAATGGGAAAGTTGAGCAATGGGTGAATGCCTCAGTCACATAAGGAGGAAGGGGTTAGCGACTTGAATCTCCATCATTTGACTCCAAGGCCAGTGATCTCTCTTCTTTTGCAGTTTGGGTGTGAGGTCCCACAACCAATGTGGAGATGGGACGCTCGATTTTTGAGCTCCTCTTAGGTAATTGGCTCTGCTGCTGCCATGCACACATCTCATCTCATTGAATCCTCACAACTTGGAGGCAATTATCACCATCCCCACTTTATGATGAGAAAAATGCGCTCTGGGAGGTGAACTAACTAACCCAAGCTAGCGAGTGGTGGAGCTGAGATTTGACGAGGCCGTCCAACTCCAGAGTGACTCTCTTAACCAGGAGCCTGCCTGTACTATCCCACCAGGAAAGATCACACTGCATGTTAGCATTTTTAGATAACGGCAACATTAGTTTTATGGATTTACCAAATTGTTCTCTTCTACACTTTTAGACAAAGACTAAAGTGGATAGCTTTCCTGAACATTTCTCACAAAATAAGATAAATTTGCAAGAAACCAATCCTTGCCTTGTGGAAAAGAATGAGACTAACAATCTTAAATATTCTTCGGCCACAGCGTTATTTAATGCTACCAATAAGAATGAAGAATGAAGGGCCAGCCTGGTGGTGTAGTAGTTGGGTTCATGCACTCTGCTTTGGCAGCCCAGGGTTTGTGGGTCCGGATCCTGGGCACAGACCTACACATCACTCATCAAGCCATGCTGTGGCAGCATCCCACGTACAAAATAGAGGAAGATTGGCACAGATGTTATCCCAGGGACAGTCTTCCTCACCAAAACAAAGAAAAAGAAAAAATGTGGAATGAGAAGTTTCTAATCTGTGGAACAGATGTGACATGTCGCAGGGTCAATTGAAGATCTTATGACTGCTAACAAACGCAGATGATGATTTGTTTCACCCTGGGGTTTGGGTGTGCTAATTGCTTATTAACATGAATATTCCATTCTCTACCTTTGAACCAAGGTAGGCTTTCTTTATATTCATTTCTTGGTTTTCATTTCATGCTACATGTGCCTATGCCCATGTTCTCGGGTAGGAAATGCAAGGCAGGAGCTTGGTTTAGCTACTGACGTAATGAAACCTGTGGGATGAATTGAATTGTGCTGGTCTGATTACTGTTGCTGTATTTTCCAGCTTAAAAAAATGGTGTGAACATGCTTTTATCCTAGATGACTGCTACACTGAGAAACTTGGTTGATTCGCCACTAGCAAGAAGTAAGTTACTGAGCATCAGTGCCCTTCCCCAGCTCTGCACGGCGATGGGACAGCACACGGGTGACAAGGATGTCTGCACCAATATTGCCAGAATATTCAGGTCCGTAGACTAGGAAAACCAAGTAGCCTTACCAAAATGCTAATGCTCAGATTTGTGGGTGTGACTGGCGAGGAATCCTGTTTTTGCTTTTTACTTCACCAAGAAGAAAAGGTAAGTCCAGTGGCCCAAGTTTAAAATAAATGAGTTAAACCAAGACTCCACTTCCTATGTATTTCTAATGTGATTCTAAACTCACTGATTGTAAGTTACTTTAACAAAGCTTGTGAGTTGTGAGTTATCCTAGTGTTTTTACAAAACAAACGAACCAATCTTCCTCTCAGCTTATTGGAGATAAAGAACTATGTCACAAACTATGGCAGACTTTCTGGTCCACTTGGAAACAATACTGCAGGGTTTTAACTCAAAGAGGGGAGCATTGCTTAGAAAATCTGATCTGACTTAATTTGTAATCAGTTATTGTATTTCAGTTGTTTGACTGAACTTTAGCACACATATTGACTAGTCAAGTTGACGCTTACTGTACTCTGGAAATGATGACCATCTGAAGCCAGGTTGTCTCAAAGCAAGGTCTTGTTAAATTTCAGAACTGTCTTTAAATTATGCATTGATGTTCCTCCCTCACTGCTCTTTGCCGGTATTTTTTACATAATTATCCTTCTCAAAAGACCTGGGTGTTTCTTGAACTATAATATTGTAGTTGTTAAAAGAAATACGAACTTTCCTGAAGACTGATTGGTGATTGACCGCGGTATGAGGAGGTGAGCCCAGATTTGACCTTTTAGCACCACGCTTTCCTGAGCTGTGTTCTGGGTACTTAATTGCTCCCATTGTGAAGCATCATAAAATCATAAAGAATTTATTTTTGTTTATGGTGACATGTAGGGATCCAATTTAATTTTTTTTCCACATGGATAGTCAATTGTCCCAGCACCTTTTATTGGATACACCCTCCTTTTTCATGCATTTTAAATGCCTGCTCAGTCATGCACAAGGCTCCATATACTTGTAGGTCTGTTTCTGGGCATTCTGTTCCGTCCATCCTTAGACCAGTACCACACTGATTTTAGTATTACAGATTTAATTTAAGTCTTGCTATAAGGTAACATGAATCCCACAGAAGATCCAAATTCTTCTTTTCTTCTCCTTAAAAATTGGAGAATCAGCTAAGGTCCATGAGTTGGACTTTGGGGTTTTTCATGGAACTACGCTGAGAATGCAGAGTAATTGGGGTGGGCGTGGGGAGAATTGACATCTTTATGATATTGAGTGTTCTATCCATAAACATTTATAATATCTTCTTTTATGTCTTTCGATAAAATTTTGTAATTTTCTCCAAAAATATTTTGCACATCTTTTACTGGGTTTATTTCTTCATGGCTTTTGCTGCAATTATGAATATAATCTTTAAATAGTTATATTCTAAGAGGTTGTTGCTGGTGTATATGAATAATATTCATGTTTGCTTATTAGTCTTGTATTCAGGGATCTGGATGATCATTAGACAATGAACATTGTCCGTAGATTTTCTTGGATTTTCTATGCAAATTGTCTGCAAATAAGAATAAATTTTGGGTTTTTTCCAATTCTTACAACTCTCCCTATTGTCCCCACCCCTTTCTTATTGCATTGCTTAGGATGTCCCATTCAAAGTTGTGTAAGTGTTGGGCTTGCTGCCTTTCTCTTGACTTTAAAGGAAATATTTTTGTAGTTTTACCAGTTAGAAATAATATTTGTTGTAGGTTTTTGTAGATACCCTTAAGAAGGTTAAGGAAGAATTTTGTCTCATTAATGGGATACTAAATTTTCTCAAATGCTAACCCTTAATCTATTTTGATTATGTGGATTTTCTTTTTTAATTCATTAATGTAGTAAATTGCATTAATAGATTTTCTGATGTTAAACCATAGTATATTGCTAGGTTTGGTTAACTAATATTTTGTTTAGGATTTTTCATCTGTGGTCATGTGTTAGATTGACTTGTACTTTTCCTTTCTCCTATTGTCCTTGCCTGGTTTTAGTGTCAAATTTATACCAGCCTCTTAAAATGATTTAGGAAGTATTCCCACTTTTTCTCTTTTCTAGAAGAATTTGTGAAAATTAAACTTATCTGTTTCTTGAAAAGTTTGTAGAACTTGCTTGAAAAGCTATTTTATCCTGGTGTGTGTGTGAATATTGTTGACTATTGATTTACTTTCTTTGACGGTTATATATCCAGTCATATTTCCAATTTCTACTTGGGCCAGTTTGCAAAAGTTATATTTTTTAGAAATTTGTCCATTTTATCTAAGTTTTCAAACAATATAAGGTTGTTCCAAATATTCTCTTATTCCTTTAATCTCTGTTTCATCTCTAATGATGTCCCCTTTTATTTCTTTTATTTATTTCACAAACACTTACATAGTGCCTACTACATACCAGGCAATATTCTGAGCACTTTCCAAATACTACTTCATTTACTCATTATAACAACTTTAAAAGGTAAGTACTATTACTGTTATCTTCATTTCACATATGAATAAATTGAGGCACAGAGAGGTTCAGCAGTTTTCCAACGGTCACATAGCTAGTAAATCATAGAGCTGCAATTCAAATCAGCTAGTCTGGCTCTAGCATCCATACATTTAACCACTGTGTTCCACTGCTTCTTTGTTGTTGATGTTGATGTTGATCCCTAATTTTGATTATTTCTAATGTTTCTCTTTTTCTCTTGATCAGTCTTGCCAAAGGTTTGCCAATCTTGCCAGTTTTTGAAAGGAACCAACAGAGTTATTGGTCCTCTCTATTGTGTGTTTGTTTTCTATTTTATTCCTTCTGTTCTCATCCTTATTAATCCCTTTCTTTACTCCTCTGAATATATTATATTTTTCCTCTGTTTTAGTTAGAAACTCAATTCCTGTCTTTTCAGCCTCCTCAAGGCTATAAATTTTCCTCTAAATACTGCTTTAGCTGCATCTCCAAATTTGTTTTGTAGTATTTTTTTGTTATTATTCAAATCTAAGTGTCTTTTTATTTTCTTGGCTTTTTGACTCATAAGTTATGTGTTTTTCAATTCCCGAAAGTATGGTTTTTTTCTTATTGATTTCTAGTTTAATTGTACTAGACCAGAGATTGTGATCTGTGAGACACCAGTTCTCTGAAAATTTAGTAAGACTTGTTAAGGGCTGGAACATGGTTAAGTTTTAAAAATGTTGATGATGTTTTACCTATTAATCTATCAATTAATGAGCGATTTATGAACATCTCCCAATTTGATATATGGTCATGAGTATTGCCTTGTGGGTTTTGTTTGTTTGCTTGCTTTAGAAAATTTAAAGCTCTTTTCAAGGCTTTTTGCTTTACGGTCTATTTTGCCTGATATCAGTATATCACTACCAGCCTAGTCTATTCAAGTAGTTTAACATTTACTTCTGATAAGTTTCCAGGGGATTTACTGGCTGGTGTCCAACCAGATTTTGTGTAAATTTCTTAGCTTGTGTTTTATGAACCATATGCGTGGTGTAAATTCACATCATATACACATGTGCCAGTCTTCAGGTTTCTATTTTTCAAAGGACTTCATTTTATTTCCCCTCTCCATGTCCCCAGAATCTAGAGCAGACAGCAAACCTCCTTGAGACTTCTCTGCACTGGTGTGTGGAGTATTTCTAGACTCCTTTTTATGAACTGGGAAATGCTTTGAAGGTCTGCATTTAAAAGTAACACTGTGTGTACTGGAATTTTATAGAAAAACAAAGTTTATTTTTATTTTCCCGTTTGGCATTTCTGCAGCAAACTTACTTCTTACCATGACTGCTGTGTAGCCTTGGCCAACTATTCCAGATGTTATGCCTTGTTTTTGACTCTGATAAACAAATACCAGAAGAAGCAGGTCAGTTCTTCATGCATTTAATCTTTCAATGTGTCTTTGCATTAGTGTATTTGTATAAGCCCATGTTGAATGACTTTATGTTCTGAATGTACAGATTTCTCTTAGAAGCTTCCGTTAGGTGTGTAGTGGGCTGCCCCACGAGGCAGAGAGTTACCTTCAGGAGTTGGGGAGGGAGTAGTGTGAGGCAGAAAAGGCCTCAATAGAATGTCGATCTCGTAGGGGAGGATTCCTGATTTAGGGAGGTGGGCGGGTGGATTTCCACAGCATTGTTCCTCTCAGCGACCTATAGACCCCTACATGAAAGTCATGTTTGGGGTGGGGTGGGGTGCACTTGTCATTGCCAGGCTCCACCCCAGACCTATTAAGTCAGAGGGGTGGGGAGCAGCCTGGCCATCTGCACTTTAACAAGAACCACGGGGACTTCTGATGCAAAATAAAGTCTGGGATCCCATTACACTCGATATATGCTAAGATTCTTCTTGCTCTGAAATTCTTTGACCTTGTTGTATGTAAAAGGTCAAATTTCTAGGTAAGCAGTTAAAGGAAATAATTCTGTTTTAATGGATTGGGCAAAAATGTATATAGTTTTAAAAAAGGATGAACTCACAAATGACTTCCCTTAATAAAACTATAATACTTAATACAAATATTAATTTTTATTATAAAGTTTTGAATATTCATTAAATGCAGTCTACTTTTATTCACCTTTATAAATAATTAAAGTGACACCAACTCTTTAGTGAGACATTTTATACATAAATACAGTATGTATTCATTTCAAATATAGTAAATTTTCAAAATCACATTTTACAAGTTTACAAACTAAATAATTTATGTGTATACTAAGAATATTTGTTTATATTAGCCCTATCAAAACCATCTCAAAACATAATCCCTATTTTCCACAAATAACATTGAATTTATTTTTATCCAGTAAAGTACTTTTGCTGAGGATGACTAAATTTGTCAGATTTTATGCTATTATTAGCTATTTATTAAAAGGTTACTAGCCTCTTTTTGGTTATATGGATGATAGAGAAAACTCTATGCTCTTATTATATACCATTACTACATTTTAAAGATGATAAAAACTTACATAAAGGGTTAAGTTTTTATTCAGATTTTTAAAATTGATTTACAAAAGGCGCTTAAGTTTCTGATTCTGAGTATTTGGATTACAAATGTTTTCCTTACGTATTTTGTATTTTCTCTAAGTTACATACCTTGAAAGATTTTAAGGTACAAGAATTTGCCGTGTCAGATGGAGAATTAAGGTGATGAATTTACCTTGAAGTATTCACAATCTGCTGTTATTTTGTGTCCATTAAGCATTTATTTATTTAATTTTTTTGAGAAACATCAGCCCTGAGCTAACATCTGTTGCCAATCTTCCTCTTTTTTTTTTCTTTCTTCTCCCCAAAGCCCCCGTAGATAGTTGTAGATCATATTGCAGGTCATTCTAGTTCTTCTCTGTGGGACACTGTCTCAGCATGGCTTGATGAGTGGTGCATAGGTCCGCAACCAGGATCCGAACCAGCGAACCCCAAGCTGCCAAAGTGGAGCGCGTGAACTTAACCACTCAGCCATGGTCCGGCCCCTAAGCATTTATTAATTTAGATATTGGTACAATATATTATCAGAACTATGATCTTTGGACAAATGAATTAACTCAATGAAAAGCTTAGGCATTCCTATTCCTGATTTTCTTTTTTAAGGAAAAAATTAAAATGGTAGAAAAGATTGTTTGCTATAGCATTAAAAGAATTCTTTAAGATGTTATACTTAAAAAGAGATTTAGTTATGACTTTTATTTTGTAACTTTATTTTATGGATTTACTTTATGGATTTTCACTGTAATTTTATCTTACCATCATTATGCTTTTTGGTTTTGGTGTTTTGATCATGGATGGCTGACCTAAGACTGTAACTGGAGAAGACCTCTTTGCCTGGCACTAGAATTTTCAAATGTGGTTTAAAGAAGTACTTCTTCCTAAAAGTTTGATTTCAAGCTGTTGTAACCTGTAATTTTTGAAAAAGAAAACCCATCAGTTGAATACTGACAGATAGCCTTATTATTTCATGGCGTTACTAGCAGATGCTGTTTTGTTTCTCTGACTGCAGCTGAGATGATGTCCGTGTTGGATAAACACAAAAATCCTGGCATCTTGCCAATGTGAGACACTTCAGATGTCAGTACGGTTAAGGGTGTGCTTTTTCTAGTTCAAGGGACTAAATGTCTTAAAGTTTAATTGGCATAAAATTTTACCACTCTTCTCACTGAACTGCTTTTCACTTTAGACCAATAATTATCTACAAAGCAAAATTAGTGTTTTAAAGCCATATTTTTCTCTATTGATTTATATTTTAATTTTGTGTTCCTATTAAAATTATTCTGGTCCAGAGAAGAGTAAAGAGCACTTTGCACACTATGTACGGTAACATGTTGTTTACTCAGAACCATCAAGGAAATGTATAATTTATCTCCTTAGTCACCAAACTTATTTTTAATCATTGCAGTGAAAATCATATTCAAACATATTGCATATTTCCTTGCCTCCTTAGGCAATATTAAAAATAATTTAACCTCTGATGCCAAAGGTCAATACTGCAAGCACTAGCTATTGCTCTAGAGGCCATTTGTCCTCACTGGGAGCATGAGTCTATTGTTGAGTTCTTTAAATGTCTGTGTCTGCTTTTTGTAGGTGTTTCTCTCTTCCCTTTCTATTGGTAGTTACCTCTGCCTGTGGTATTTGTTACCTGCTTTTTGCAATTATTTTCCCATAATTAGCAGGGGAACCTCATAATCAAACTTGTTAAAAGTAACAGCTAAAAAGTCTAAACTAAACTGAGTATGAATTGGCTCTTAGTGAGAAGGGCCAAAGGGACTCTGATGAAATTTCTCTTGTCAGTTCTCATTATCAAAAGCCAATTCATACTTCACGATGTAGCTCTCGTGTCTCCTTCCTTCTGAAGCCTTCCAAGGCCAGCCAGTTCCTCCCTCCTCAGTGCGTCATTTTAATGACTAACGGAGTTGTATACCCAGCTAGTACCCCCATAGCTAGGGACCCAAGCAGTATGTCTGTGATCTTAACCTCTTCACTATTATTAAGAAAAATCTTCCCAAACTTAGAAATAGGGTGTGGAGTGGGAGACTGCATGTCCTGAGGAAGCCGTGCTGGGGCATTGTTTACCGGTTGGGCTTAATTCTCAAGAGGATGTATAAGAGTTTAAACTTGCTATTTACTGTTAGATTAGAACCCGGACACTATAAAGTTACACATTAATTTGTAGATTTCTCTCTGGTAGGCAAGATTACTTCAAAAGTTATGGTTTTATTGCCCTGTAGGCTGTTAGCCAGGTGTGTATCTAACCTAGACATCTTATTCTAACATTCTTTTTAAAGCTGGTAAACACTCAGTTCTTTGATTGTTCTTGGAAACAACTTTACCATTGTATTCGCTCCCTCATTAATGAGATAAATAATTTTTTAAATGTGTTAATTTTATATTTGTATGAGAGTCATGTTATTAACCCTTTAGAAATTATACTTTGTCTCTATACCACCTTTTGCTTATACTAAAGAATGAAATGGTACAGTTTTGAACCATCTTTGATTTTTTTCTAGTAAGAAAAATAAATACATTATTTATACGTTCCCCAAAACAAAAAATTTTAGAAAAGCAAAGAAACAGTTCAGGCTACAAGAAAGTAGTTATGTGTCCCAACTACTTCCTAAACTCATTAACCAAAAGCTCCCATAGGTCATTGTCAATATGTTTTCTTTGTGCTTCTCCAAATGGTTATCATCTGTGTAGCTGCCTCACCCACTAATGGAAGTTTCTAAAGGACACAGGCCTTGTCTTGATAAACCTGAGATGATGCTTGGCATACTAGGCTCATGATAAGTGCTAAAAGAATGACTCTTGAGTATGTGAAATGCTTTGGAATCTGTAGAGTATTATAAAATATTTTTTCTAGTAATCTAGTACTTCTTCCTTAAATATTTACTTTCTTCTTCATTTGGTGGAGGAAATAATAAGAATTTTTCCCACACTTTTCACCTTCGTGAGCTGACATACACAACAGCAAAACAGAAATGATGGATCTTAAATCACTTCAGACCAGACAGTGTCTTAGGTTCCTGTTCCCCTTGGCCCAGGTAGCCAGTGGAACACGATTTGTTTCTCTTCTTTTCCTAGAAATAAAAACAATTTTCAGAAATCCCACACCATGTTCTGATGTGAGTGGATTAATCTGCGGTGGTTAAAAATCACTACACCTGAGACTTACTTGCACCTTGAGGCTTTGAACTGATCTCTGAAATGTACATCAGCCCTCCAGCAACTTTTTCAATAGAATTCTTACTTGCTATAACTACTTTTGTTTCAGCTCTAGGAGATGTTTCTGCAAGACTAACTTGGGTTGTGGACGTATGCTTTGGGAGCTTTGTTGTCTCTTAACATACACAGCTGTCATCAAGTGATGAAACCATCAGAAAGAGTCTTATAGGCTGTCTTTCTTCTGAGAAGTTAGTGCTGCCTTCGTCTTAAAAGCCTGAGGATTGCGTTTGGGATCAGCAGAGATTTCATTTTTCTGAGACTCATTTTTAAATGAAATCATGTTTATGGCTAAGTGTATTCTCAAAGAACATAGAAACAACAATCTCAAAGAAAAGAAAAGAAAAAGAGAAACCCTGTCTGGTAATAAATGAAATATCATCTACACACTCCTCTTTAAGTGATCTTATCAGCCAGGTGAGGAGCTTGGCAGGAAACCGTGGCCAACTGCTTCCACGGTCCACCGAGGGGGACATCCTGCCTTGAACCAGGGAGCACCAGGGCTGCTGGCTGCTGGGAGAAGGGGAATATTTCCTCCCCCATCTGCTGTTGTTTGCCATTAAAGGGAAAAAAAAAGAAAAGAAAATACATGAGAAAAATACCAAAAGTAAAAATGTTTCCCCATTATTTTTACCTTATTCATATTCATCTCTTGTCAAGGTG